CTCGATTTATTTATATCAATTGAGAATTTATTTACTTATTTATTTATTTACTTATGTCAACAATCAAATGACTGTCGGCATAGGTGGAAAATATATAAAAATTTATAAAAAGCATCTTATAAGCTAGAAAAGCCTAAGAAGGATAAATCTAATCAAATTACAATAATATCTAATTAACGTCCCCGACCCGGTATTATTTACCTTTCGGCTAGCTGTGCAGAACTACTAAATTATATAGAAGCTTACGAAAAAAAGCACAGCTAGCTACTTTATAGGACATTCCAATTTCATGTTGATGATTCCATTTTTTCTTCCAATCTAAACCAAGTAAGAGCGTTTCATCTGCTAGCACTGCTGGCGAAATGATTGGCTTAAGATTGGCCTTAGATTAACCGTATACCATTTCTTACCATTTTATTGGCTGCTTGTTCAGACATAAAACGAACAGATTGCGCAAACCAGCTTGTACCAACCAACAGAGAGAGCTTAGCTAGCAGAAATGGATTTACCTGCAGCTAGCAAGTTGCTTAACATTTAATAGGCAACACAATAGGCTTAAATTATTCAAAGAGCTAGTTAACGCCCACAAGTGGACAATGCAATGAACTGCTAGTGACGCCTATAGCTTAGTCCTTCGCGTCCTGTGCTGTCCATAACCATTAAATTGTGAAAATAAACAGGCAGCTGCTGTTGGTCGGGAGAGTCAGGCAAACTGTAGTTCGAAATTGTTGAAAGGCATTTATTAAAAATTCAAGTGTTGCCAATTTTTTGGTAGCTGGCACGGAGACAACAAAATGTAATGCGATACAGAATGGTTCCCCAAACAACGAGGACGACAGCGTTGACAACGTTGACAATGTTGAGGGCAAGGACGAGAACGAGAACGAGAAGAATGAGAACAAGAACGACGACAAGCCACTTACAACAATGGAAATGATTTTTGCATAATTTATTCGATGATTATTACGTACACACACACACAAAGTGAAAGAGGCAACAAATGTTTCGTGTACGCCACTTAAACGCACCCACCAAAGCCAAAACCAAAGCCACTGTGGACAAAAAGTAAAAAATGTTGTCAAAAAATGCCAGTTTCCCAACATATCAACCCGGGATAGACGGGAAATGGAAAGAAGCTTTAGATTGGATTACAAACAATTACATGATTCTATTCCAACAACCTCTACAAATGTTGCTTCTTCCGTAGAAGATTCTCTCGGCAAGAAGAAATATATAAAATAAAAACACGAACAGGTTGCAAAGCTAGCAATAAAAATTGGCTATTTTTCTGGATATTTTTCATAGAACTACGCTTTCTACATCTATTGTTAAAAATAAAACTGGACATTTCCGAAGTATCTATAAGCTGACCTTCTCTAATGCCAATTATTGATGATGTTGCAGCGCAAATTAATTCCTTAAGCATTAGTTTCAGCTTAATAAGTAATTCCAATGGCTTTATCCCAGAACTAGGCACAAATTTCGATTATGTTTTTTTTGCGGTCCATTAAATTAATAGAAATCGAATGTTCTAAGCTTTCCATTTTCTAAAAATGTGCGAATTTAATTCACAGTAAAGACAATTTCCCTATGCAAGAATGGTGAATTGAGCGGAATTTCTAAAACTGGAACTGCCCTTTATATATATCTTTAAGTTAGTGTTGAACTAGAAATCTAATATGTATGTGCACAGGAAAATATTAAATATAAATAATAACTATAAATAAACATCCAACAATTTATAATTTATGCAGCCATTTTACGAAGATCTAAGCCGAAACAAAGCTGAGTGAAAATTTTATATAGCACTCCGATCTATTTAAAATTTGTAATTGCATCATTTTACACCTAGTGCTTAAATCGAAATGGCATATTTGGTTTAGGTATTACCTTAACATAAATTATCGACTCATTACTCATTAATCCATTTCTTACCAAACTTTTCAATTCATAGCTTTTCAATCCATAGCTTGTCACTCAATAGATTTGAAATCCACAACTCTTCAATCCAGAACTTATCAATCTTCGAGTAAGATATTATTGTAATTTGATTAGATTTCCCCTTTTTAGGTTTTTCTAGCTTATAGCTGGCGTTATTAGATATTTCTGTCATTTTTATAGGCTTTTTATTCCTATAGCTTTATTTTAGTTTAAGTTCTCTTTTGTACTGATTTTTTGTTTTATTTTTCTTTTACATCGACTGCATTGTTTGTCGATGAAATAAATAAATAAATAAGATGCTTTTCATCATCATCATTTTACCATAGCTTTTAAATAAAAAGGATAACAATTCATATAATAACGTCCACTTTACTTTTCGAGGCCTGGCATAGCTTAACGAGCTAACAGGAATCCCACAATCTGAGTTCGTTCCTGAGTAGATGATTGTACATGATTTAAAAATTACGTGCAGTTTTAAAAATTCTTCAAGCTGTCGTATTATGGCCCAATCTGAAGTCCAAATTCGGAGCATAATAATAATTTAAGAAAAATTAAGTGTTCTTTTCCATTCCAAACAATTCAATAAACGGTTTTCATTGAATTCTGTCCACTGTGCGCGCCTGATCTCTCAACTGCTGTGCCAGTTAATGTCGCTTTTTATTGCAATTAGAATATTTTGCATATGCGCAGAGGAGAAAAGGCTCTTATACGAACAACAACAACAACAAACGGCATAAAATGTGCGTTGCTGTCGCGCCGTTTGTGTTTGTGCATATTTCTTGGATTTAATTTTGTTGCTGGCAAAAGTGATTATGTCCTGTGTGTCCCCAACCCCAACCCCACCATCACCAGAAACAGCAGCACCCCCTCCCCCCTCCACCCTCCTCCTCATACTTGCAAGCAACTGCTTCTTAGTTTCGCGCGTGCCCGCAGCTGCACCTTTTCCAGCCTTGTGGTCCCCAGCGACTTGTGCGGCACTTTTTACCCCGTCAGAGACGAAACCCTCTACACATGGGGCACCTTCAAGTGACTGTTGTTGCTGTTGTTGCCTTGTTGTTGTTGCTATTATTACTGTTACTGTTGTGCGTCGTTTCATTTCGACTTCAATCATATTTCATGCACGACGCTCTCGACGCTGTCGACGCTTCTCCTTCTCGTCATTTGGTTTATGTTTATTGTTTTTGCTGGCTTTCTGCCGTGTCCTCAACACTCACCCACACACTCACACACACACACACACACACTCAGACATAATCAAAAAAGGTAATCAACATAAAGTTCAGCGTCGTCAGCAGCTCTACAATTCTCATTTCATGCTCTCGGTCTCAGTCTCAATCTCTCGACGGCGTTCGCGGCACTTGTCACATTCGCAAATGAATTAAGTGCCAAACGCACAACTGCGCCACCGAAATGGATCTCAGGAATCGCCACCTGACAGCCTCACTTCTGTGTCTGACTGTCTGTTAGGTCTGGCCATTCCTTGCCAGTCCTTCCTTTGGTGTAAAGAACTCTTATGAATTTGATATGAGCCGGCTTACTTAGACAAGTACTTGAAGGGTCTGATAGCATTGTCAACGGGAGAGATCAATGGGGCTTCTGCGGCTCTCAACAGACACATGTTCTTTAAACAAAAAATTCATTTATTCTTATCTCTCTGGAAAGTAAATATAATCTTACTAGCTTACTAATTACAAGCTGTCACAACTCCGGATCCTTAAGACCACTAGTTTTGGCTATTTTTTTGGATATTTTTCATAGAACTACGCTTTCTACATCTATTGTTAAAAATAAAACTGGACATTTCCGAATTATGGATAAGCTGACCTTATTGATGATGGTGCAGCGAAAATTAATTCCTTAAGCATTAGTTTCAGCTTAATAAATAATTACAATTAATGGACGGCAGAAATTCCTTTGATAGGAAAACATAACGAAACATTACAATTGTCTAGTTCTAAGACAACTTCAGAATTCACACATAAGATACAGTTCATAGACAACTTCAGGATTCACACATAAGATACAGTTCTATGCCGACTTCAGAATTTATATAGAAGATAAAGTTCTAAGCCGACTTTAGAATTCACACAGAAGATACAGTGAATAAGTTTTAGGCAAGTTTCTTCTCATCCTGTTTGAAGAATGTTTTGTGGTAGGTGCGCAGTACTTTTAAGACAAACCCCTTCTAACCAATGTTTCCTCCTAAATGGAGAAGCTGTAGGCAACATTCTACTTATTCTGCTTGAAGTATGTTTAGTCTTTAAAAAAAGCCGATTTTATTCTGTAATGATGTCATCATATTCATTGCAAAAAAATATTATAATAGTAATACAAAATTGCACTAAAATGTTATTAAAACTGTATATTGTTGAAGAGATTTTTGAATTCTGCAAATAGCATTATTATTTCAAAAGATTTTATTTCATGACGAAGTCAGTATATTTTACGAAAACTTCTTCGTATGATAAAAAATTATCGTAAAAAGCAGAAACAACATTTTTTTCGGGGAAACAGGGGATTCTTAAATTGTAGTTATTTCTTGACTCTCATTTTATTTCAGTTTTTATTAATTATAAAAATTAGTGTTTTGTTTAATAGTGGGTGTGGCCAGCATGCTTTTATTTTCTTAATAATTCCGGAGAAATTGCATTATACCTAATAAATTCAATGATTTCTTTCACTTTTACAATATTATTGGGCCTATAACGGCGTATTTTTCGCTTAATAATGGACCAAACGTTCCCAATAAGGTTGAGGTCTGGGTACTTTGAAAATTGTAATGTCCTCAAAATTCCTGACTTTATTGCGACTTGTCAATGCCTTATAACTAATAACTTCTTGTTAATTATGCTGAACCAAGCGCTCTTAACTTTTAATTTGTATAAAAAATAAAATAATTGCAGTCTATAGTTATTCACAGTCGCATTATATTGGCGATTATTTGTATAAACCCATCACACTAATATGCCCCACACATTGAAGCTCGTTGAACAGGCCGTCCCGTCCATTATAATTAACTTTTATAAAACGTGGATTTGCACAAGGAAAAATCCATTGGCTTTACAAAAACTATGGCACATCTTGTCAGTTTTTATTGCCTTTATAAGCACATAATTAATATAAAATAATATGAAAAATTGTAATGGTTTTTTATGATTTGTACTTCGTTTAGTTGCCATGTCGTTACCCATATGGGGATCATCAAATTTCAGAAGCCTACTCTGACTGTGTTTCGAACATGGTCTTCACAATCTTACGGCGTATCTCAGCCTGTTGCTCAGTTGGCAGTTCGGCCAATTCGGCTTTTATATACTCTCCAAAAGCCTCAATGACATCAGTAAACATTCTTGTTGGACAGGGTCTTACAAAAGTTTGTGGCATTTCTCCCATTTTTTCCGTCTTCCTATTCTCGCTATCCATTTGGTTTTCCACTTCATCGGCTTCTATCTTCGGCTCTGGCTCATCCCACGAGAGCGCTGCCATATTCGGCTTCAGCTTTACTTCTGACTGAAGTATGCTTATGTCTGTCTTTAAACGTTTAGTCCCTGATGTCTGCAAGCGAAAATCCTCTTCCATTTTCACAGCCTTGGGTTTAGAAATGAATTTACAAATTTATTAAACATTGAGTTGTTAAGCAAAAACCTACCAGAGACGAATTCGTAGGCTTTCGTAGTCGTAGATGGGGCTCGAGAAACATCAGTTTCGAGAACCAGTATGGCTCGTCGTGATTCTCATCGTCGCCACCTTGACTTTTTATTTTTCCGATTTCGCCGCTAAACTGTCCACGCAAGCAATTCAGTTTAAATTTTATATCCATCGAAGTCACTTGTGGGTATTTGAAGATAAAAGCGTTCGCTATATTCTCGAGTGCCCTGTTCCGGGCAAATCTATTCTTATATTGGCAATCATTCTTGTCGTAGAGAACGGTTTCTCTTTTATATAATTCTACCAATTCGAGCACATCCTCCCTAGTCCATTCAATTGGCTATAAAAAAGAGCCAAACTAGAATGCCCTATGAAGTATTATTTATGAATAGTTCTTACCTTTTTGGGTAGCATTTTGCGGAATTATAAATATATTGCTCGCAGTACTATTTTGTAAGACAATTTCGTTCAAAAATTGTTTGCTGTGAAAACTGAAACAAATGAGAAACTGAAATTACTGCACAGAGAACAACAAATATGACAACAATGTTGGCATATAAGAAAAGGTGATCTGCTATAATTTCTTCTTCTTCGAAGTTGCGACACTTTTTTCAGTCTGGTACACACCGGCGGATCCAGGCGGATGAACATTTTTAAGGTTAGGTAAAGCCAGGCGAGCATGTCGACCGAATTGGTTGTGCTCGACAAAATGTTCGACATTAGTGGAGATGCTCGAGTTGAATTTGAGTGATCGACGTGTGGTCGTGTAGAGAAGAAATGTTTCTATCTTGTTGCTGTTCGGGCCAACAGTGTTGCCCCATCATCATTTGTAAAAAATATTTGATCACACTTGTGATCAAGGGCGTAGGCAGCTTCTACCAAAGCAAAGAAAAAGCAAAGAATTCGTGCTCGATTTTTTAGAATGCTAGCACAATGAGACGACACGTCGCTGTGGAAAAACAAAAGCGACAATAAAGCATGCATATATAGTTTATTTAAAAAATATCAAAAATACATTTTTTAATCGCCATTAAGGCCTAAATTGTATTTTCGTCCACATCTGTTTAATCGTCCGTACTTGTTAAAATTTTCTGTCAAATGATGTTCGCAAACAGTGTTCGCCACGTTAGTGGGCAAATGTATTTGTGCTGCCGAGCAAGTTCGGAGGAGGATAAATTTAGTTATTTTTTATTGTCCACCAATGTTTAAACAATATCCTAAAAATATGAAGTTTTATAAACAAAATTTTCTAACTACTAGAACTACAAATGCAAAATATATATTTTTAATTAAATAAGGCATAAAATTAATTCACCTAGCAATACAAATCAAAACAACTACGAATTGTCACACAATTTACCTAATATTATGCCTGAAAAAATCGAGCGAGAAATTATCCCATTATCCCATTGGATACGTATATTTATTTTACCGAAAGCGTACATGAATTTTTTGATTTTGCAACCCGTTTTAATTTATTAGAATTTAAGTTAAATAAATAACGCAAGTAGTCTTAATAAAAGTACCTATATCCAACAAATAATCTCGCACAGACGCTTTAACTAATCATAGATTCAGATTTTCCTGAAACTTTGCTCCTTCACAGCCAAATCCATTCAGCAAGAAAGCACAGCTCTCCATCTCTCTACTCGTATAGTATCTACATCTGTTATGCATTGTGCTTAACCCCCTAAGTTGATTGATCAACTCATTCGTTTGTGCATTAGGTTTGTGTTTCGTCAAGCAGAAGAATTCAATTATTCAAAAGCCGAAAACAACATCATGAGCTGGTGAGGGGGGTGGGGGCGTGATTCTGAGTGGCAGGCAGGAAGTGCAAGATAGGGCTGTGGTCAAAACAAATTTTCTTCACGTTCTAAAAACAGCGAAATTGGTGGGCGTGGCAGGTAAACGGAAAAAATAAACCCTCAAATGTCTAAAAAATGTCTGTGTAGATATTTTAATCAATATTATTTTTTTTGTTTGACCAAATGTTGCCGTTTATGTCCACAGGACTGAAAAAAAAAAAATGTAGTGCGAACGTTTTGATTGATGGCCATTTAAGCAATTTTTGCACTTCTGCAAGCAAGGGTTTTGTTTATAACGCCTGGTATGAGTGCCTCATGATAAATTGTCTGTCACGGAATTCTGAAAACAATATATGCTATGTATATGTGTTTTTTTAAATATATTTTATATTAAAATGTATGCTTGGTGTGTGACTAAAGCCTGCGACTCATTATGCGAAGCTGCTTAATTAAATGAGCTCCACAGACAAAGAACGTCTCGAAAACAAAACAAACACTTCATCAACCCCCACACAGAGCCAATGAACATATTGACCGGCGCTACCCCCAAATGGCAGTCACCCCCCCGTTCTCGTCATTGATTCGGTGGCTCATTTTGTGGTTGCATTGCATTTAATTAAATCATAAATAAGCATAAAACGGCGCAGCGCATCGACAATTAAACAAACATAAAAAGGACCATGCAGGCCCAACAAAGTGACAATGAAAAGCGCAACGGACATAAACTCAGACACACAAACATCCACACACCCATTTAAATATACCTATAAGTAGAAAATCCCAGTAGAACTTTGTGGAAAGTGGTTGCAGACAGATTTGGTGAAGTAAATCGATCTAACGATTTTCAAAACAGCCTTTTAATAAATAACTATAAAGTAATAAGTTCCAACATTGTCCAACAATTGTCATTCCTTTGGGCTAACTTTGAAAACATTTTCAAATTAATCAAGAATCTCTAGCATTATAATTATGTCTTTTATTTTTAAAGCAGCCTTTTAATAAATAACCAAAAAATAATGAGTTAGTAAAAACCATCTAGCAAGTCATTATAAAATTTTCTATCACTATCCAAAAATTGTCATTCTTTTGGGCTAATTTTGAAACCATTTTAAAATTAGAATAGAATAGTTCTGTATTTAATTTTTTGAATGTTGCTATTAAAGACAATGTTTGAATGATATTCATTTAAAAGTTCAAAGTCGATAGAAAAGTGGGTTACGTATAATCGATTAATTCCTACTGGGTATACTCCATTTCCGAAAGCAAAAATACAGTCAGCTTGGCCAGTACTCGCCACATAAATAAACAGTAAATTGTGCACTCAAATGGGCGCATTCCGAAATTGCATTTAATTAAGTCAATTTCCGAAGCCTTTGCATACTTTTGGGCTTTTGGCCAAATGTTTGTTTATTTTGACAAAACAATCGTGCATTTTGGTTTCCATTAATGGGTGATTGTGTGCGTGTGCGTGCGTGTTTGTGCGCCTACATGTATGCAATGCAATGTTGATTGACATGTGCACTAGACACACAAAGACTGCCAGATAGCAATAGATTGAAGGACGGTAAGGATGGGGGAGTTACGGGGTCTTGGCAAGGATGCTCTGCTTATTGTTGATAATGATATGATGACAATGTCACACAGTTGGTCAACTCGATTCACCAAACCAGTACATCAACAGCAGCAGCAGCTGCACTCAACAAAATAAAGTGTGCTTTGTGTTATTTGTAATGGAATGGAATTCAAAATTGAAATTGCTTTACAGCAGCTTTGATTTGCAATATATCGATTGTAGGTATCGTTAGCTATCGGTATAGATTCTTGCCAAAACTTGTTTCTTTAGTTAGATTAATGATAAAAAAAAATTGCAATCAATCAAGACACATATCCTAAAAATATTATATTGTCTTTAAATTAATCGAAAAGAAAAAAAATTACAGCAATGGCTCAAACAATTTACATGGATTACCAAAAATCTCTTTTTCAAATAATTTAATAGATGAAGAATTCCATTTCTGCTAAAAAATGTGTAGAACTCTAGATAAGTAATCTATTATTAATTATTGATATCGCTTTTAATTAAAATATATTTTCAATAAGCTTTGAACTTTAAGAGTTAAATTTTAACCAATAAATTTATAGACATTTTTCCAAAGAATCGAATTTTGTGCATATCGATTATTCGATAATTATTATCTATTTTATTAAGTCTTTCATTTTACAATACATAAGAGTCTTTTCGAATAAAGTTTCGAATTTTAAGCATTCAAATTCAAGCAACAGACTTATAGCAATGCCGATAAGCAATTGATTATAATCAATAATAATAATCATAATTATAAATAATAATTATTATTATTTAGGCAATTAATTATTAAATGCACTTTTCTACCAGCTTTTGCAATTTTAGATTTTAATTAAAGCAAATAAAATTATTCAAATAAATAATCGATGATTAAGAAAAGAAAGGATATTGCATGTGAGAAGAAATCAAATTGCTCCAATTATATGTCTTTTTCAAAACATTAATTTCAACCAACAACGATAAATTATCGATTATTAGTCGATTATTAGTTAGAATAAAAGTACACCTAATAGATTCGTTCTTAAAAAAGGCAAATTGCTCCAATTATATGTCTTTTTCAAAACATTAATTTCAACCAACAACGATAAATTATCGATTATTAGTCGATTATTAGTTAGAATAAAAGTACATCTAATTCTGTTCTTACACGGTAGATTCGTTCTTAAAAAAGGCAAATTGCTCCAATTATATGTCTTTTTCAAAAGATTAATTTCAACCAACAACGATAAATGATCGATTATTAGTCGATTATTAGTTAGTTTCGATCAATCACAGAATAATAGTACGCCTAATTCTGTTTTTACACGGTAGATTCGTTCTTAAAAAAGGCGTTTAGAAAAAATAGTGTAAAAAAAGACATTGATCATATGCAAAATAAGTCGTGCTAAATGGAATAAAGTCAATCAAAACAGTGTAAAAAAGACCGTGTAAAAACAGAATTGGGTGTACAGCTCAGTTTGTGTTTGAGACAAGTACAGAAATGTTATGAAAGTTTTTAAAAGAATTTTTTGAACAAGCAATTCGATTTCAAGTTAGACGCGATATTTTCTTCGAGTGTAGAAAATCATCGTTGTTGTTTATTTTAATTACTGAAATTGCATTCGAGTGCCAACTGCCAACTGCCAAATGGTACAGAATGCACATGTTGTATGCAGCTGCCACCTCATCATCACCTCACCTATACAAGTATGTGTATGTGTGCGTATCCCATCATCCTCATCAATGCCGCTGATGCCTCTATAGCTGCTTTTGTTTTGTTAACGTCAACTGGCTCATATGCAACATGTTCCCATTGCTGTTATTGTTGTTGCTGTTGTACGAGTAGTTGTTGCTCTTACTGTTACTGCAACATGCCTGCATTCTGCTTTCATTTGCGTTTACGTTTGGTTTGGTTTGGTTTGGCTCGATTTTGCCATTGCCTTTGGCAACCGCTCATGCAGCATCAAGCATCCGTGCATTTGGGCATCCGTGTATCAAAGTTTGTTCAGGTAAAATGCCGCGCACTCGCCGGCAATTGTTGTGAG